GGTTAGGGAGGAGGAGGACAGGTGAGGGTTGAGGACAGGTTAGGGTGGGAGCTTGGAGATCCGGTAAAGACTAATGTTGAAACTTGAGCAAAAACTTGAGGTGGTTCTTGCAACACACTGGTTATATGAAGGTCAGAATACCAGGTGACAAAGGTGTGTGTGAGTCTGTATGTAATAATAATAATAATAATAATAATAATAATAATAAATAAAATAATATAATAATATGTAATAATAATAATATAATAGATAATAATAATAATAATAATAATAATAATATAATAAAATAATAATAATAATAATAATAATAATAATAATAAATAATTAATAATTAACGGTTTATTGAAGAGCATGGTAGCCGGAAGGCTGAAAATATACAGTTACATAATTGGGGAATGGGTCTCTTGATTTACAAATAATATACAAGTAACATAGTGATACAAATATGATATATAATAACTAGGTGAGGCTCAAACTACAGGGCATTTCAACATAGTGACAGTGCAAAAAGGTTAATATTGACTGGGAGTGAATACATGGTTGATTACAAGTTATTGATAATTTTTACAATGGTTGTGACTGGGCTGTTCTTATAATAATCAGTTCGTGCTCATATGGGCTGGATGCGGTTGTGGTGTCGAACAGCAATTCGGCCGAGGGATCTCGGGTGGCAGTAGGATGGTGCAGAAGCTTCTCCGCAAATTTGCAGACGAGTGGTGATGGCCAGAGAGAGCCGAGAGGGTCAGCGTGTTGAGCGCTTCTTGATATGTGGAGCATGTATGTATGTATGTATGTATGTATGTATGTATGTATGTATGTATGTATGTATGTATGTATGTACGTGTGTTTGTCAGTGTGTATGTAGGTATTTGTATATTAGTGTGTATATGTGCGAATATACATGTATGTATGTAGCAGAGTATTGTGTATGTATGTATGTATGTATATTATGTGTGTATATACTGTATGTGCATCTATTTGTCAAATTTTCCTCTCATTTTAAGAACATTAACACATAAACAATACATATTGACCTGGTTCCTCTACCCTAAACACTAATTCATTTAATTCGACACCAAAATATATACGTTTTTTTAGCAGTCAAATTCACATATCAAAATCGGTCTGGGATCTACTGAGCTCTAACCAATGATAAACAAATATGTATCCAAAACACCTCAGTAAGTTAAAGACTATGAACTTATCCGAGTAGGTGATTAATTCCCATGATGCTGCAGAAACCGAGGTGGACCCACATACCCATGGGGGACTCCTGGGGAAAAACCCTTCGTCTCGTCTTTGGGTTGCTGGTGGAAGATGCGGCGGCTGGGTTGGTAGTAGCTGGTCACGCCTTGATACATTTTTTTGGATTAGTTGAAGTATCTGCTGACTCATGGAGTGATTAATCATGTATTTAATCTGAATTTGTGAGAGAATATGAGAAATATAAATGAACAGTGGAAGCGTTGCAACACCACCGGGTTATCTCCTCACAACAAAAAGCCTCAGAAGTCACAAAATATAACAAAAAGAAATATTTGTAGTATCATTTAGTTTACAGCCCTTTCAGAGTTTTGCGATGAATTCTTAAAAGACAACGACAAGAAACAGGTACAAACTTTTCAGCAGAAGTGAACGAAGCACCATAGAGAAAAATCTTAGTCGTGATGATGAGCCAGACGGGCACACACGCACCTCCTCAAGGCCCCTGAACCTCTTCCTCGAGGAACGAAGACGCAAACCAAAATCTTATCATTATGTTTCTTGTATAAAATAATCAAATTTGTTTATACAGTGAATAAAAGATTTTCCTTCACGGTTTCTATGTCAAGTGTTAGATGAGTGTGGATGACCTGGTTATTAATACCTCACAGATCGTCTTGGAATGTTTTACCTAACGTCTTGCACCGCGCCCAGTTGTTGAAAGTTAGCGGAGAACAGAAGTAGTGTGAACAGAGACAGAGTGATTATATTATTATTATTATTATTATTATTATTATTATTATTATTATTATTATTATTATTATTATTATTAGGTGAAAAACAAAATCATTATTTAGGACAGCAACTAGAATTTTGACCAATATTAACAGATTAACAAATATCCATCACTTAAATCAAAGTAAATTTACTAAAATAAATATATAATTTAATAATTCCCTATATTTAGATTTACTCTGATTATTAGTATTAAATTATTCTTTTATGTGAGGAAATTTGAGCATCAAGAGACGGGGTGTTGTTCAATATGTCCGTAAAGTAAAATATATTATATTATGATATTTTCTGAAACATGTTAAACGTGTTGAGAACTTTCGTGTTGCAAGTAGGTGTTTCCCCCGCGGCCCTGAATACACCACACTCATCCCAATGCAATAGTGCAATCAGTAAATTAATAAGTAAACAATTTATGTACCGTAACATTGTCGTCAATAATATGTTGGGTGACAGTGAGGAAGATTACTGGTGGAAGGAGGGAGGAGGAGGAGGAGGAGGAGGAGGAGGAGGAGGAGGAGGAGGAAAAGGCTCTGTTGGGGAGACATGTCCTGTGAGGGAGAGAGATGGGAGAGAGAGAGGAGGCGAAGGACAAGAAAGGAAAGGAAGAATAAAAAGAAACATAACAAGTTAGAAATATAGAATTTGTTAGAAGATATTATCACTGTGTTCCTCAATACACACACACACGCATAAAAAAAGAAAAAAAGAAAGAAAAAAACAGTATCTTCTGGTATCAAGTTTCTTAATGATTCTCGCAATGTTGAATTTCAGGATTTACCGAGTTGTGTATATACTGTATGTATGTATATATGCATGTGTCTATGTTTATATGAATTTCTATGTATACGTACTGTATATGTATCCTGGTCACCCTCCCTCAGTAGCTTAATCCATATAGCTTGGAAGTACAGTGGACAATGTACAGGTAACATAAGGTGGTGTTATTTAAGGTAACATAAGGTGGTGTGTACAGGTAACATAAGGTGGTGTGTACAGGTAACATAAGGTGGTGTGTACAGGTAACATAACGTGGTGTGTATTTTAGGTAACATAAGGTGGTGTGTACAGGTAACATAAGGTGGTGTGTACAGGTAACATAAGGTGGTGTGTGCAGTAACATAGTGGTGTGGAGTGGCAGGTGTGTACAGGTAACATAAGGTGGTGTGTACAGGTAACATAGGTGGTGTGGTAACATAAGGTGGTGTGTACAGGTAACATAAAGTGGTGTGTACAGGTAACATATGAGGTATTGTGTGGGTAACATAGGTGGTGTGCAGGAGTAACATAACGTGGTGTGTACAGGTAACATAACGTGGGTGTGTATAGGCTAGGTGGTGTGTACAGGTAACATAAGGTGGTGTGTACAGGTAACATAGGTGGTGTGTACAGGTAACATAGGTGGTGTGTGTAGGTAACATAACGTGGTGATGTTACAGGTAACATGTACAGGTAACAATTTGTGGGAGTCTAAATTGTATCACACCTGTCTGGCAAAACTTCAACCAGTGTATGGAGTTAATAATTTTATTTATTTATTTATTTATTAACCTTTGTTGTGTTTTCTTGTGTTTGTTTTGAATAGATTATCTGTAAGGATTTGTTTGGGGTGTGTTTGGGTGTTTTGGGGTGTGTTTGGGGTGTGTTTGGGGGGTGTGTTTGGGGGTGTGTTTGGGGTGTGTTTGGGGTGTGTTTTGGGGGGGTGTGTTTGGGGTGTTTGGGAGTGTTTGGGGGTGTGTTTGGGGGTGTGTTTGGGGGTGTGTTTGGGGGTGTGTTTGGGGTTGTGTTTGGGGTGTGTTTTGGGGTGTGTTTTGAGGGTGTGTTTGGGGTGTGTTTGGGGTGTGTTTAGGGGTGTGTTTGGGGGTGTGTTTAGAGTTGTGTTTGGGGTGTGTTTATGGGGTGTGTTTAGGGTGTGTTTTGAGATGTGTGTTTGAGGGGTGTGTTTGGGGGTGTGTGTTTGGTGTGTTTGGGTGTGTGTTTTGGGGTGTGTTTGGGGGTGTGTTTAGGGTGTGTATGAGTGTGTTTGGGGTGTGTTTGGGGGTGTGTTTGGGGTGTGTTTTGGGGTGTGTTTGGGGGTGTGTTTGGGGGTGTGTTTGGGGTGTGTTTGGGGGGTGTGTTTAGAAGTGTGTTTTAGGGTGTGTTTGGTGTGTTTGGGGTGTGTGTTTGTTTGAGGTGTGTTTTGAGGTGTGTTTGGGGTGTGTTTGGGGGTGTGTATGGGGGTGTGTTTGGGGTGTGTTTGGGGGTGTGTTTGGGGTGTGTTTGGGGGTGTGTTTGGGGTGTGTTTGGGGTGTGTTTGGGGGTGTGTTTGGGGGTGTGTTTGGGGGGTGTGTTTTGGGGGTGTGTATGGGGGGTGTGTTTGGGGGGGGAGTGTTTGTGTGTTTGGGGGTGTTTGGGGGTGTGTTGGGGTGTTTGGGGGTGTGTTTGGGGTGTGTTGGGGGTGTGTTTGGGGTGTGTTTGGGGGGTGTGTTTGGGGTGTGTTTGGGGGTGTGTTTGGGGGTGTGTTTTGGGGTGTGTTTGGGGTGTGTATGGGGGTGTGTGTTTGGGGTGTGTTTTGGGGTGGCATTTTTGGGTTATTTTTCAACAGTTGGAGTTTTGTTGTGGTGGTGGTTGCTCATAATGGTGATTCAGGTGTTGGTATTGTTAAGGTTTGGTTTCGTTTTGGTTGGGTTTGGTTAGGACTGATCTTGTTCACGTTATAGGGAGATACATACATACACCCACCCCCCACACCCTACACCCCACCACTTCAACCCCCACCCCCCCACACATACCTCACCCCCACCACCCACCCACACACACACACACCGTCACTTAAAATTTATACCCGTGCAGTGACTCAGCTCTTCTATAAGACTCCCACCACACCTCTTGACAAAAATACTCTGAAAAAAAATTCCTCACCAAGTCAGGGTAATATCCCGGGTTCCTCCACACCTCAAGGCAGAAGGTGGAGGTGGAGGGGGAGGGGGACTATGAGGAGGAGGAGGAGGAGGAGGGGGGGGGGAGCGAGAATGGTATATAAACTCAGGGCTCGAGCACTGAGTATCGCATTTACTTCACATCACCGACTGAGACCATTTGTAGACCTCACCTTCCAGAGCCGACGAATAATACGAGGTGAGTATCGTGTCTTTCAGTGTCTTATGAATTGGTCCGTATATCTGAGGTTAATTTTACTCTATAGAATAAAGGAAATAAGATTCTTTAGTTATATAATGAAGGGGTAATATTAGATATATTAATGGGTAAAATTGAGGGGTAGGGTGGCCAGGGGAAGAGACTGGGATAGATGCGTGGAATTATAAGCTGTCTTCCCCGGGTTCAGGGTTTAAGAAGTTTGGAGGTGAGGGCTGTGGTCGCCGTTCCTCAGAAGTGATTGATGGATTATAGTCATGGCTCATAGCGTCGAAAATCTCCTGAGGCTCTAATGCAGTGAGGTGATAACTAATGCGGCCTTATCTCGAGTTGCCAAGGGAGAAGAGAGAGGGGGAGCGGTTGTGGAGGAGAGAGATAGGGGGTAAATGGAAGGAGGAAGGGGGAGGGGGAAATAGTCTTTGCATATTTAAGAAACCGGATGTACTGTATATTTTAATGGTAAACTTACCTGAAGTTGAAGAAATTGGATTTTATCTCTCCTCGTTCATTTGTATTGTGATAAATGTTTAGGTCTCTCTCTCTCTCTCTCTCTCAATACACCTCATTATCTTCACTAAATTGCCTTGTTATCTCTTAGTGTATTACTAGTTCTAGCCACACAGACACACAACTTATATCCCTCACCCACAGATGCAGGGAACACGAGGACTCCTCCTGGTGGTGGCGCTGCTGGTGCTACTGCAGGTGTACGTCGCTGTTGCGAGTGTTCCCTATGGCGGTGGCGGCTACGGTCATCGTGGCGGTTACGGACACGACGGTGACAGTGACGAATACTATGGTCATGGCGGCGGTCATGGCGGTCATGGCGGTCATGGCCACGGTGGTGGTGCTGGTGGACATTGGTAGTCGTCATCGGCAGCCACCCAGGAAGCCGACTCTTAAACCTGAACTCTGGACGATGAAAGAAACTTGACTAAATTCCTGAAAGATTTTGATTTGGGGATTCACTTTACGTGTTGTGCGTGTGCGTGTGTGTGTGTGTGTGTGTGTGTGTGTGTGTGTGTGTGTGTGTGTGTGTGTGTGTGTGTGTGTGTGTGTGTGTGTTAAAAATGATCCACTTTTGGGTGAAAAATAAATAAAATAAGCATATGTTAACACTTGTTTTATTATCTTGGTATTACTTTGAGTCTTATATTCAGCCCCGTGGTCTTACAATCAACCCCGTGGTCTTATAAACAACTCCATGGTCTTATAAATAACCCCTTGATCTTATAAGCAACCCCGTGGTCTTATAAACTACTCTGTGGTCTTAAACATTCCAGTCCAGGATAGGGTTTGTAAGCCTGTTCCCTTCGATGATGAGTGGTTGGTTTGCCGGAGGTGCGTTTGCTTACATACGCTGGGGCGACAGGTGGAGTTGAAATTGTACTGACCTTAAGCATGAGATCCTACTCCTGTTAACCTGTTTGGTGACGTTTGATGACATTGTCCTTTAGTGGATTTTGGTTCTACAGTAAATCATCCATTTATCGGACACCAATTTAATGGGTATTGGTCCGTTATATGGAGGTTTCACATCTGATGGGCCTCGATATCACGAACTACACATATAATACGTTAAATACAACTGTCACTGTCTCTACTTTAAGAACAGTTGGCCAGAAACTCAACAGGTTATCCGGACAAAAACTCACTTGCAAAATGACTAAAAAAGTTGAAGAAATTATCAGTAACAACGTTTGTAAGATAAGGTGACTCCAATAGGTAAGTCAGGTGTTTGTCTTTGTTTAGTAATTATATTTAATTATATTATTGATAAAGATTCAATGAAAAGTAATTATGATCGATGTGATGAGGAGTTACTTAGCGCCTCCTCATGTTCCAATAATATTAGTTCGTTTTACCGCCACACCTCCCCGTCGAGCGCTGAAGTGCGGGGTCCTTTGCTTTTAAAACTATGGCTTGTCAACACAACGACCCTCTATCTACGGGTGGGAAGGTGGAGGGGGAAGGGGAGCATAAAACTAGGATCACTAGGCCTACTCTCTCTCTCTCTCTCTCTCTCTCTCTCTCTCTCTCTCTCTCTCTCTCTCTCTCTCTCTCTCTCTCTACTCATCCCTAAGAGAGGAAAACAAACACACACACACACACACACACACACACACACACACACACACACACTCTCCACAAACCCAATTGAACCCCCATTCAAAATTTACAAGGAGTTTGCAGTCGAACTTGCCACCCCCCTCTTTTCTATTATTAATGCATCCCTCAGACAAAGTAAATGCCTTAATGAATGGAAAACCGCATTCGTCACCCCTATCCCCAAGTTCCCCCACCCCACAGTCCCCTAACAACCTCAGGCCAGTTGCCATTACCCCCACACCCAGTCTACTCGGTGAAGACTTTGTTTTTGAGTGGGCATTTGCTCGTATTTATCAGTCAATTGATCCACAGCAATTTGGCAATATGAGGACCTCCTCTACATCACACTGCTTAGTTAGTTTTCTGGACTTCCTGCACAAAAACCTGAAGAAACGTAAGACATCACTGGCCGTTGCCTTTGTTGACTTCAGGAAGGCTTTTGACCTTGTTGATCACTGCACTGTTATTAACAAGGCCACTGCACTAGGGCTGCCCACCAACCTGGTCTCATGGTTCACCGATTTCCTGAGTGAGCGTCGTCAGGCAGTGAGGTACCAGGGTTCTGTCTCCACATTCCAACACCTCACCTGCGGTGTTCCCCAGGGGACTAAAATGGGACCACTGTGCTTCCTAATCCTGATCAACGACACTCTATCGGACACTCTTCACAGGTGGAAGTACGTGGATGACTGCACTGTGGGGGTTACAGTGGACAACACCTCACCGGACAACTCATTGCTACAAGGCACCCTGGACAAGCTACAGGCATGGACTACGGAGAACAAGGTCACCATCAACCACACCAAAACCTTAGTCATGCACATCAATACCGCCAACATCCAGTGCAAGCCCCAGCAGTCACAGTGGTGCCCATCCTCTCCAGTTAGTGCAGTCTGCCAAACTCCTGGGTGTTACCATAGACCACAAACTGGACTGGAAGGCCCATGTAAACAACATAATCAAGGCAGCCTCTTACCGACTCTACATACTACGAAGACTCTGGTCACTTGGGGCACCCATGCCATAGCGGAGGACTATCTACAACGCATTTATTCTCCCCAAACTAACGTATGCGTCACCAGCCTGGTCGTTTTCTCTTAACTCTACCCAACAATGCCAGCTAGAGAAGGTACAGAAAAGGGCCTGCAGAATCATGCTCGGCGCAGACTACTCCGGCTACAACAACGCTCTCTCCACCCTGGAAATGCCATCCCTCAGTGACCTCCACCACCAAGCACAAGCAAGGTTTGGCAGTGGACTACTGCACCATCCTCGTCATCGCCACCTTCTGCCACCGGTAGCCCCCCGCCCACCTCGCGCAGTCCGCCACTACAACAAAATTCAGCCCATAAGAGCCCGCACTGATAGATATAAGAACAGCACCATCCCATCTATTGTTAAAATAATAAAGAGCTCCTGATTTATGTACTGTACAGCCCTGTAAATGTATTGAACTTATATTATTATGTCTAAATCACATGTAAATATATATATTTTCAGCCACCGGCTGCAACTCTATTAATAAACCGTTTATTATTATTATTATTATTATTATTATTATTATTATTATTACTATTATTATTATTATTGTTATTATTATTATTATTATTATTATTATTATTATTATTATTATTATTATTATTATTATTATTATTATTATTATTACACACACATCCTCCCTCCTGTCACTCACACATAGGTATTTCTCCTGGGACGTGAGGATATAAAGACAGGCCGTGTGATCCTCACTAAGAAGAACTTCGCCAGGCTAGAGACTCAGAGGATCCATACTTCTTTTCCAACCTTTTCCCCACGACTATATGTTGTGACTTCTCCATCCCTCATGTCTGGCTGTGCCTTGAGCCCCAGCATGCCTTCCATTCATTCCTCACCTTAACCTAAAAAAAAAAAAAAAAAAAAGGATCCAGAGGAGAGGGGTGAGATCCTATAGTGTGTGGCAGGATATTATAGGATGTTGAATATCTCTACCTCGGCTGAATTAATCCTTCACAGGCCTAAACTTCTGAATGTCCGTATGTGTGACGTCGACAATATGATTAGGTTAGGTTGATGATGGTCCCCCCCCCCGATATTGTATCAACACTTCCAATCACCATTATCACCACCACCTCACTATATTTAGCACCATCATTATTACAACCACTACTACCACAATTCTCATCACCATTACCACCACGAGTACCACCACCACTACCATCATTAGGAATCCCATAATGACAACCAACCATTCGGGAACAAAATCATTAATAAAGGAAAATAAATGTGACAAGAAGTGGTGGGAAAGGGATAGAGAGGGGGGGAAAGTGGAGATGGGAGGGAGAGGGAAACACGTGTCTGATTCCCACGTTGTCATATACCTTAACTTAATTGTTCTTCCCTGTGTTTCCCTCCAAGGTGCTGTTTTAAGGGCTGTTACTGCTGTTAGTGATGTTACTTCTGCTGTTGTCTCTATTGTGACCCTTACACAGCCATCACAAAGATACCTCACAACCTCACTCAACAGACTCACTATAAGAAAAGTTGGTTTTGGTTTAATATTCAGGAATTTTGAATCTTTGAGCAAAAACCCGGAAATATTGAAGGACTTTAGAGTATTATGTATGAGGGGCGGCCGAGGCTTACTTCTTCAGGAGTTTCAGGTAATTTTTGTTTTTATTAAAGTCCCGTTAATGTTTACCCCAAGAGGCTCTGATGAACCTTGATAATCATAACCTAACCTAACCTACCCTACCGTACCCTACCCTACTGCACCCTACCCTACCGCACCCTACCCTACCGCACCCTACCCTACCGCACCCTACCCTACCGTACCCTACCACTGCACCCTACCCTACTGCACCCTACCCTACCGCACCCTACCCTACCGCACCCTACCCTACCGCACCCTACCCTACCGTACCCTACCCTACCGTACCCTACCCTACTGCACCCTACCCTACCGTACCCTAACTTAACCTACCTTATCCTACCCTACCGAACCCTGACCTAACCTAACCTACCCCTAAACCTAACCTAACCTAACCCTATATATGAAGACTTAATGGATAGGTGTTTTAAGTTGTTATGTCACCCTTAAGAAAATATTTATAGTAATAATGCTGGATGGAAAATTAATCTGACTTCTTTTTTTTCCCAGATAAGTGAAGCATAACACATCACAACACATTATACTTCAGGTATGTGCTGTTATCGTTGTGTTTGTTACGTGTTTGTGAGTCTTGCGTCTCCTCTCGGGTCTCCTCTAGGTCGCCATTACCTCCCGTGTTGAAGATCGGAATTACGTATACTGTATAAAATCATTCGGGAAATTTCTTGATCCGTATTTTCTAGTGTGATTATTAAAGGAGAGAGAGAGAGAGAGAGAGAGAGAGAGAGAGAGAGAGAGTAATCAGGACGGGGTAAATTAGGGTCTCGCCTCTTAATGAGATGATGCTACCTAGGTGATCATTAGTCAGTCAATCCTATACGATGATTGGCTGGGAGGAGTGGCCAATTTCTCCTTCTCTTTCTTTGTCGTTAACATCACTCTCCCCCTCTCTCTCTCTCTTTCTTTCAGTCTTTCGGTCTGGTTTTCGCCCTCGCTCACTCTATCAATCTCACTCATTTATTTCTCTCCTTTACTTTGGTTCTCACTCTATCTCTCTTTACTTCTCTCTTCTCTCTCTATTTTCTTTTTCATCCTATCTATCTCTCCTTTTCTCCTATCATTCATTCTCATCTACATTCTCTCATTTTTATTTTTATCTTATTCCTTCCTTCTTCCTTCTTCGTGTTTACTCTATCTCCCTCATCGCCTTAACCCCCCTCCCCCCTAACCCTCTATTTCTCACTTCTTCCTTCCCTTTTCTCTCCCCTCCTTCTTCCTGGTGAGAGTGCCAGTGCCAGAAAGTAGA